CCACCAACCAAAAAGGGGACAACAAGCGAGGCCACGATGCTGCACACATTACCTGACATGGGCACAACAGCCAATGCAATGGCTTCCATATGGTTACTCAGCAAACCATCCTTTGACTTTGTAAGTAAACAAAACTTGATGAAATTTGAATGACATCAATCAAAATTTTCTTCTAGTTTTGTAGAAAGGTTAAGGTTCTTCCAGTCAATGAGAAAAACAGTCCTGCTCACTACTTACAGCTGTACATTATAGTGCCAATAGTATATGCTTGACAACATTTAAATGTTATTGATAAAATGTATTTAATCATTTATTTCATCAGGTCGGTCTTGGCGAGTCCCTGGAGGACCATCACAGTTATGAGATTCCCTCCAGCCATGTAACAGCTTTTCAAGGAGAGCTTCAAGCGTTAAGCGCACGCATCAAAATCAGAAACAAGAGTCTGGAGGTGCCATACACATACATGGATCCAGCTGTGGTAGAAAATAGTGTGGCCATTTGAATGTCAGAAGGTGTGACCTCCTCAGCTGTTGGCCAAATTCAAGTAACAAAAATGAGAAAGGGAAAATCTGCATGCTTTGTTTTTAACTGGTACTATGGTGGAAGGAAGCTACTGCATGTGATCATTTTATATTGATCTGTGATTTTTATATAACCTAACTGATTTAACTGTGGGGAAAATCATCATGGTTTAAATCATAATTTACATCTTAGATCTTCTTAGTATGTCGGTGAATATACAGGGTCTCTTATCAAACTCAGTTACTGTGGGGAAAAATATTATTTTGCATTAAGATTGTAACACTTTAGAAGTAAACTGTGCCTTATGACTCACTGTCATAATGAAGTATAAATAAATGTAGGTACCTATGTTTTGCTTGATTTACTGCATGCTCTGTATCTGTATGTTAGAAAAATAGGAGAGTACTAGAGGACAAAACTTTTAAGTGAACTGTGTCTCTTTCATCTCGTGTGAAAAACAAGTACTTGTCACTCAGAACAAAGTAAGCTCAGTTTCATGGAGGACAGGAGGTTCCTGTAACCACAGAAAGAGACAGTGCTTCAGTGATCCTGTGTTCCATGAAGGAGATGTTTCTTTCTGTCCTTGTTTTACACTTTTTATAAAAACAATTTCCCTCACTTACAGAAGTTGAATACATAAAGTGAAGCTGCTGCATTGACAAGTTACGGTATAAACACATGTATCATCCACAAACAAAATGTGACAATTTGCATGTGCTGTAGAAGGGAAAACAAACATGGTGCATATTAATGTAAAAGTAATTTGGCTGATTTGTCATTGGATAATCACAGCAAAGCCCGAATTAAACACAGTGCCAAACACATTTGACTTAGCACATTTAGATGACAGTTCTTAATTAATTATCCCTATATTCAGCACATCTTCATATTATAGAAATTTGCTCTTATTTTGTTATGATGTGGCATGAAATGTTAATCTGTGTGTGTGAATTAATACATTTAATACTTTCTCTGGGTGGTGATTTTTGATCAATACTTTCTACTGTCACTAAGGTCTACTGTAAACTTAAATAAAGTACTGATTAAGTCTACACATGAGGCGTCTGAGAGATCATTTATAATTTACTGGAGGGGGCACTCAAAAACAAAACTGTATTTATGAATAGATGGACCAATAAAGATTCTGAGTCTCACAAGGAGAGAACTGAAAAGTGGGAAGAAGAGAGAGTCAGTGAGTAATAAATTGACACTATTTTGCCTCATGGTTGTTATTAGCATGATTGGGCTGATACACTGATAATTTGTTGACCAAACTGTAAATGGTAAAGGCTGGTGCTTTTATTTGAAGGAGTAATGTCAGTAAAGAGGGTGGTGCACTTTTTGTTTGTTAAGCACCTGGCTGACACATTGTTCGTCAATATTTCATTAAAATAATAATAATTCCTATTGTGATTGAAAATAAGTGACATAATCAGGGGCGCTACCAGGGGTTCTGGGCCCCATGTAAAGATAGAACACTAGGCCCCACCACCACAGGCTATGTAAAGCCTGTGCAAACACTGTGACCACACCTCCAGAACCAGTGTTGTAGTTAAGGATATATGCAAGTATACAGGGTATACCCACTTCTTTTTCTCTGTTCACAGTATACCCATCTATCAGTCAAAAAGTCAATGGAATATATAGGACAGTCTAACCTCCTCCCCTTTGGTAACCTACCCATCTACCCCATAGTGCACACCTCGTTAACCACTATGCCACTGTCCAGAACCCAAACGACCCATTCAAAGCTTCAAACAGCTCTACCTTTGCCATACTGTATGTTTTACTCCATTACATGTACTACTATTAAATTTACTACTTCACTACTTATCTACCCAGTAGTACACAAAGTATCTAAAATTGGCTCCACACTGAAAAATTACGACATTAAAATACTTTTATATGCAAACAGAATCACATATTTTACCATACTCGTTTATAGAAATAATCTTCCTGTGGTTATGATATTTTGAAAGGTGCCATTCTGCAAGAGTACTTTTTACTTTTTATACTTTAAGTACATTTTGCTGATAATACTTCTAAACTTTTAATTATATAACAATTTGAATGCAGGACCTATTCTTGTAATCAAGTATTTTTAGACTGTGATATATTTACTTTTACTAAGGGTTCTTTCAGACCTACAGTTCGCTTGCTTGGTCTGAATCAGGGACTAATTTTGTTTAACAGTTGCATAATTGCCTAAAAGTTGGTTTGCCTTCTAATGGCAGCATTTAAACCAGATAGTCAGACCAGATAAAATGCCTTTATGGGTCAAATTTCCATGTAGAAAAAATCCAGGAAGTGAACAAAACATTGAAGAAGATAAATGCAAGATAAATGTGACACTTTCTAATGTCACAATGGACGGACAACAACGCAGGTTGATTTTAGCGCTGTTCATCGTGGACTATATTGCTGTCATTGTTCATTTTAGTCAAACCATACAGTTTGAAAACGAGGCGCGGCTCCAACTAGAAAACAATGTTTTGATGCATTGGATGTGCTGAATGTGCATATTAAGGCAGTACAGGAGGAGGCGCACATTAATAATCCTCCAGGACTGTAGCATGCTCATGTTTAACCCAAACAATGTGTCATGTGACTGCAGTTGGTTCAGATCGAGGTTAGAACATGTTCTCACTACGAACGAACTGCACCAGAGTTCCTTTGTATCCGGACCAAGACTACCTCTTTAAGAAGGCCTCAGTCCGGTTGTTTTGGTGCGCACCAAAGTGCGACTACTGTGTTCACACCTGCCCAAATGAACCGCACGTAGGGGCCAAACAAACTTGAGTTCAATTGAACCGAACCGGGCAGGTGTGAGAGCACCCTTAAGTAAAAAAAGAAAAAGTAAAAGAAAAAGTATGAGACTCAGAGCACAATGACAATCTTATCTGGTATACTAAATAATATGGTAGTATGGCGTACAAACGCGTTTTATTCAGTAGGTGGCAGTGTTGCACATTTCATTCATAGTGGTTGAGGTGAGCTGACGTTTCAGGGCATCAGTTTTGGCAGAAATGAAGCTCTGGCAAAAGTTCAGTCAGGGAGATAATACTTTTTCATGCTCAGGCTGTTCTCATCCTGCCATTCACTCCTTGCACGCATGCTCATGTCAGTCTCTGGCTGTCAGTATTCGGGGCTGTCAATCGATCTCTCCGTCAGCATATCATCTTACTGCTCCTCATTTAAAATATGGTTCTTTATCTGTCCGCAGTCCTTTGTTGCATGCTTCAGCTGTGCATACCCTCCACTTCCCTATCACCACCTAGTGTTCTCGGATGCAGCCTCTATCCGTCTCATCAGTCATCAACCAAAGTCATCCACTACCACCACCTCCACCAGTGTCTAGACTCCATAGGGGGGGTTTATCTTGCTGCCACCCAGATCACAAATAATCTCCCCCTGGTGTCTAAGTGCAAAAGACTTTTGTTAAATCTTAACAGCACAAATCATCTGTAAATCTGTCGACTTATATTGCCCATTAAACTTCATCTTTATTTCATTCTTCTGTGTCTACTGGTTGAAATTGTAGTCAGTGGAGAAACAGATGAACCCTCAGAACAAACTTTGAAACACACAATGTTACACAATGCCCCATCTGCTATGTGCCTAAGTGATTGCTGTATGAGAAAGGGGTGGGTGGTGGTATTGATCCATGGCTGCACCTATGTGAACCCCCTCTTCCTCAGAAAACACTGAGTGCACTTTGATGAAATGTCACTCCCTTCACTGGTCTGACCACAAACACACACACACACACACACACACACACACACACACACATGGTTGTACTTTTTTTTTTTGACAACCGTCATTGACATAATGCATTCCCTTGCCCCTTACCCTAACTTAACCATCACCCCTGCCCTAAAGCTAATTCTAACATGAACCCTAAAACCAAGTCTTAACTCTCAAACAGGCTTTTGAAAAAGTGAGGAACAGCTCAAATGTCCTCACCAGGGCTGCCCCTCCCTAAATGCAGAACACGTGCTGTGCGTAGGGCCTCATCTTCCATGGGGGGCCACATTTTGTGTGAGGGGACGCATTTGTGCATATGCGCAATGGATGCGCATATGCGTTACAGTGAGGTGCGCATAGAATCAGCTCGAGGAAGGAGAGAAGAGACCTGTAATCTGACCGCGCATCCGTCGCTGCAATGATTGACAGCACTCACATCTGACCAATCAGAGTGGTGCGCCGGCAGGCACTTGCAGAGCTGCAGCAGGTGAAGAGTTGTCTACATGTCGTCCAAAAGACATCACGTGTCAGGAGCGAGCAAGAGGAGAAAAAAAGGCAAAACAAGAGGAAGCTCGTGCTTCACTTGAAGGTGGGTATGTTGTTGAAATAAAACTTTGTGGCACAAACACCTAAAGCCTGGCTCACACTACAGGATTCTCGGGCTGATTTGACCCAGATTCGGCCCTCCCGACAATAGGCGGAGAAATCGGGTCTCGGACCTTAACTGGCCCCGATGTTCAGCCCAGATTATCTTCTAGTGTGAGCGGGTGAAAGATGAATCTTAAACTCCACGATCAGCTCACAGACACGTCGAGGTCGACGATAATTTTCAGACATGTTTGATTTTTATCGGGATGACACCGGAAGTGGATGCCAACCGCATCCACTTCCGAAGAAGCAGACGAAGAAGAAGAGGCCAGACGTAACGTTACCTCGAGACGGAAATGGTGACCGCGAAGGAGCAACAGAGCAGCAGGGCGCGTTAGACAGCGCATAGACATAATAAACTAAATAAAAATAGACTCTTTATTATGTCTATGGGACACCAGAGATGGCGTTTCTTCCTCTTGCCTTTTTCGCTGCACAGAATGGCATGTACTGTTGATTTCCGCTTCCTTGTGAGATGACGTACATTATGTGGTGCACCGCTCTCTGGTCCGATAATCTTGATGAAATCCTGTAGTGTGTGCTGGTCGTTATTTTCAAATCTTGTAGTGAGTGCGCAATGAAGATTTTAGATAAGATAATCTGTGAAGATTCTCGTTGTGTGTGTGATACAAGCTGATTTAAAACTCTTTTAAGATTTTTAAAATCCTGTAGTGTGAGCCAGGCTTAAGCTGCTACTCATTAGATAGGAATCTCTGTCTCCAGTCTCTGTCTAGACTGGAGAATTTTTTTTTTCCAGCGGCCCTGATTAACATTTATTGAATGTCTTGTTAACGCCCTATGCATTCACCTCTAATGAAAAGGAGCGGTAAAATGACCAGTTGGTGGTCATATATATTGATAGGCTATAAACTTTAGCCAATATATAATATTGGCTAAAGTTTATAGCCCATCAATTTATGTTGTTAATATTAGTTTTCGACTATTTTTATGGAGGTAAATGTCACCATCTGTTGGTGAATTTAAATCACATCAGTCAGCTTTTGAGGAGACAGAGAAATACTGATTGAAATGAGTGTGTAACTGATGCATTTGTTGACAGAGGGAACTAAACTTGAATGTAAAGTTTGAAATATCAGTCTGTTTGATCCTGAATTAGTATAAATTACTAGGTTTTCTTAGGACTGTAGTCTGTACATAATAATAATAATAATAATAATAATAATGTAATAATAGATAGCAATAGTAGTAGTTTTTTGTTAATATATTGTAGCCAAACTACTGTATTTACAGTACATTTGTTATTGCTAATAAAGGTTGTCAAGTTAAATGGCATGTTGTTGTACGGTCATTTTGTACCTATGATACGTTTGGGATTGGGAGAGGTGAGTGGGGGGGTGGGGGGGCTCCAAATAGAATTTCGCTTAGGGCCCCATTTTCAGGGGCAGCCCTGGTCCTCACTTTGCAAAAATGTCCTCACTCTGTTGCTAAAATATGTTTTGTGGTCCCCACTGTGTAGCATGTATAAGTACACACACACAAACAAAACTAATTGTAGCTACAGTATGACTACAGCGATGAAACCTGAAAAAGAAAGTTATCTGAATGCTGACACAAAAATTGCTTTGCACATTACATTGTCACAGATTATCCTTTGACCTGTTGATTTTTTTTCACACATTTGACTTCCTTCCTTGAA